GACATAATGTCACCACAACCTCCTAAAATACATAACAAAAGTGTTAGATATAAGGTCAAAATAATTCTAATGATCAGTTCTATATTGCTTCAGGCAGCAATAGGAGTAACTGATTCTTTTTTTTAAATTAAATTAATTACACCATGTTTTTCTGCATGAATCCAATAAAACTGTATTAATTGTACCTAAGGCTATCATTCCGTGATAGCCTTAGGTAATCAGAGTGTGATCCATTCTTAATTCACATGTCAAATACGCTGTAAATCTCTGCAATATGTTAGTATGTCTGTACATGCTCTGGAAAAGCTGCAGGAGATATAAAAGTTCAATCCAACATCCTAATCCCTTAATCCTAAACACTTGATAGCATGCAATGACGCTTCAAAAAGTGTTTGAAGAAAAGGGGGAAAAAATGAGAGGGGATAAGAATGCAGTATTACCAGAGGTTTGTTTCAGTGTACCATTCTTCTTCTAGGAAATTCTCTCTAAAAATGTGAGGTTGGTTTAAAGGAGAGTGACTGACATTTTCAATTATAGTAGATCATCTATTCATGTTCAGATTTCACTAAGCAAGCCTGAAACCTGCAGTGAGAGAGACTGTGTACACCTGCAGATATTTGGCATGAAATAAAGGAAAATAAATTCAAACAGGGGGCCATCTTTTAGACATAGCTTTTATGTTAGATGTATAACAGAGAGCGCTTCTCGTTCTGTTTAAAATGCCTTCTCTTCACAGGGCTACAAGGGGAGAAAAACTAATGCGTGAAAGGGTAGAAATACTGCATTATTCTCCCCCGTGGTTAAAGAGTGGAGGACAGAGGAGCCTCTTACAGAAGGCTCCTCTGTAAGAGGAGGTTAAAATTGTGGTTAAAATTGGTGTGAAAAACAATTTCAACCGACACACGACGACGGAAACAAAGGATGCATTTTTCCATTCTCACATTTTGTTCTTTCTTTTTTGATATTTTGTCACCATGTCTTCCAAACTGCCAGAAGTGAGGATGATACCAAGAAGGGAAGAAGAGGAAAGAGAAACAGCAAAGTTAAGATACACAAATAACATTGCAAAAGGAGGACAAAATGAGCACCAAAGTGAAACATTTTACACTTATGCAAACATGAAAATAACCATCTATTGCTCTGTAAACAGGGATGCTGTTTGTAATGTCTTTCTTTTAGAGGTTTGCATTATTGCAGTCGGTGTTTACTTCCCATAGTTCAGAGCGTGCATAACCCTCAACCTCACAGGAAAGAGGCAGGCAATAATCAAACAATGGGGGGAAAAAAGCAAAGAGACAAAAGATCAGAGGCAGGAGGCTGAATTAAACCTTTTGAGGAGTAGTTTTGGAGCAGACAAAGCGCATGACTCAGAGAACAAAAGAGGTTAGACAAGTATGTAGAGATGATTGACAGCCTGCTAAGAAAAGCAGCAGGTTTTGTAGTTTGTTAGCCCTTAGCTACACTGCAGTGTGTGTACTGAAGCAAAGGGAACAGAGCCTTACACAGCAGTGAGTTGGACTCACAGCATGAAAGACAGTTGAGATTATTAACATTAATAATAGCTTGTTTCTCTTTTCTGTCCTTGTAAACTGTTAAAAGTAAAGCTCTATGTTTAAATCAGTGTTGCCAACCATCCCTTAAAACTGAATTATCCCGTATTTGAATTTGAAAGGCACTTATGTAATTAAATCTCATATTTACAAGCTGTATTTTTCGTTTATCATCATCACAAAAAGGTGAAACTCATTATTATTGATTAAGAAAAATATGTTGTATCTGACAAGCAAGGTCCAGTATGAAAAAACAAAGACAAGAAAATATATTCAGGAAATAAAGGCTGCTCTGTGTACCGGGAATTTGTAGTCACCTACAGAGGAATTATTGATTTTAAAGGACATGTAGCAAGAGAAAAGAGGAAGCAGGGTGAAATTATACTTCAAGCAAGACATCTTGAGCTATAAAAAAATTACTCTTAATAACCTGACAATTATATTTTTTTCTTTTGTGTAATTACAAAACATGAACAAAAAATTGTATTAATTACACATTGAGAACTGAACTACCTATAACCTATGAAACGTTTATAGGTTACAGGTAATTCTCTCTTTTTTTTGTTAACCTGTGACTGCAAAAAAAATATAAACAAAGAATAACGGTTCATTTTTATCTCCAGCATTTCTTAAAAATTTAAGAGTAGAAGCAGAAAACAAGGGCAGGGTTTTTCTTTAACAAAACATGTTCTTTGCTATAATTAAATTTACCACACATCATTAAAACTGCTTGCAGCTAAAATAATTTTTCAACGCTGCTTTTGTGTTTTATTTCAGTCTAAAATAAGCAGGGTAAAAAATAAGGGTAAAAGTCGTTAAGAAAAACCGTTTCAGGGAATCATTTAAATGGATTACCTGAAACATTTATAAATTACATCTTTAAGGCCTCAGACTATTAAAATGAGAAATTTAATTGGATTTTGGTAGAATTTTCATAAGTAGGACTAAAGCAAATATAAATAAAAAAAAGATTAAAGTTTTCAGCTTGGTAGAACTTTTATTTTATAATTATAAAGTAAGACCAAAAATGTAATTAACTTTTTTGTCAAATCAAATAGTTTTATTTGAAAGGACCTAAACTAAACTTGAAATAAAGAAGGTTCTAGCATTTTAAAAGTGTTATAAAGTTGTAGATTGGCTAAACGAGGATCAGCTACTATCTGAAACCAGTTTACTGTTATTATACGAGCATTTACCTTTAGAAATGGAATATATTATAGAGGAGTAATCCCACTGCCCTGGCCCCTCCAAGTATAAACAAGATAGGGGATTTAGTTTGTGCTCCTTAATCTAATTTCTGAAGGTTGAAAACATGCATAAACATAGGACCTCATCCAATTGGAACAGTGCCAGCATTAACGTGTGCATTTCTTTCCATTAACATGTTATGAGGACATGGAAAATGTTTACAGTAATTTCCATAGAACAGCTTTGAGCTGGGATATACCTGTTGATTAAGTCCTCATTGTCATCGCTCTCCATCTCATCCTCGATGGCTGCCTGCAGGTCCCCGATCCTTTTAAAGGCCAGCTTGAGGTCCACTTGTAAGCTCTGATTTGCTGCCTCTAAGCTCTCAATGTCCATTTCCTGGCAAATGAACAGCACAACAAAACAGGTGTCATTATTCTTGAGGGTAATTTAAATACAACAAGGCTAACAAGGAACCAAAAGCCTTACCAGCTCATGCTTCTTCCGGCTTGCCTCTCCCTCCTTCTTGGACAGCTCAGCCATTTCCTCTTTCATGTCTCTCATCTGCCTTTGCATGCGCTTATTCTGCTCCTTCTCCCTGGTTTCAGCTGTAATGCGTTGGTTTTTTTCCTCAGTCACCTTTTCTAGGTTCTCCTTCAGACGGCCCACTAAACTCTGTTGAACAAGTTCAAGTTTAGACGCATCAAAAAAAGGAAACGATAAGTTGTAACACATGACCAAATAAATTATTCTTTAGCATTAACAAAGACAGCGCTGCTGTGTATCTTAAGCAGGCCAATAATAAAAAAATTTAAACTCTAAGCACTGCCTGCAGTCTGGAAAAAAAAATGGTAGCCACATTATACCTCATCTAAAGTTTATTTTACTTAATCTTTAAATATATTGGGGTTTTTTTGGCATTAATTGAAAAAATAACAATTCAGACAAGCTATCATAAACACTAATATCTTAATTGAAAATCACTTTTTGGAGAAGAGGATTGCAATTACCATCTCAGAATAAGCTGGGGTCTACATGCTCTGCTCTGTTCTAAACTCCAATTTCTGTAATATAGTGGATGTTTCAGAGTAAAGATTATAAAAAAAGTAAGGTGACCTCGCATGACAGAAGCTCAGACCCAAATCCCCAAAATAAAACTACTCACTCGACACCACTTATCACTTTTCTATAAAAAGCAAACGCTTGTTTCACTAAAATTTTTCCAAAACCTAAAAATGCTCAAAAACAAATTCAACAAACAATTTTTTATGAAATGAACAAAGCAGATTTTAAAAAGAGAAGATTTTTGGATCACGTAAAGGTGAGAAAAATACTTTGCAATAACTAAAAGGGAGGCTTTATTTTTGCCTAGATTATGTGGTTAATTTTCTACTTGTTAGTTAAACATTCCATCTATATAAAAAAAAAATCATCATAATGCATAAAAAATATTCCCAAGGCTGAAAATAACCTGCAAGATTAGTTTTTTGTTTGTAAAAATATTTATATAAATATAGATAAATTGTCATGCCTTAAGCTAAGTTCCTTACACTTGATTAACTTTAAATCCCAATTCAAATCATAGTAAAATAAAACCACAACCAGTAACTAAGGACCGTTGTGATGCATTGTTGAAATTTAGAGTAAGTATTAGTAAGTATTATCATGGCGCATGTTTTTAGGACTTTTAAGGCATGATAGCAGTAGTTTATGTTCTTCCTTGTACAAACCATGATTTTAAAAAAAGTAATTGTACAATAAAAGACACATAATGTACCTATGGTCATTTCAAATAGCATTTCCATTGCATTTTTATGAGATAACTAGCATTATCTCACCTCCAAACGCTTGATTTGAGTCTTCTCATATTCTAGCTTAGTCTCCAGCTCACGGATCTTTGCCTCCTGGCGACTCACGAGTGACTTCTCCACCATGGACTGTTCTTGGAACTCTAGCTGGCTCTGAAGTGAATGGAGCTGGAAGGACACCACACAAAGAGATGATCACACAAAGTCGGTTACCGGCGAGAAAGCCACAGCTTACTTCCTTCTTATTTGTCGCTTTTCTGCTTTGTCTCTTTTGTGGGCTGTATAAACATTAAGAGCAAGTCTTGATCTTTAAATCTTCAAAACAGATTGCTGTTTACTTTTTTCACCCAATTTGAGTTAATTTATTCTGTCTTGGTAAATATAAATAAGGTGCATCGAGTCTGAATAATGAGTTTGAGATAAGCCTCCACTCTGCTTAAAATGGTCAAAAACAGAAGCTTGTGGTTCAGGCTGGGTAACAGTGAGTCACGGTAATTTCACAGGCTTTGAAAAAGGCTTCAGCTTCATGCAAAGCACGTTTGTTCTATCTAAATCCTTTTTTCTTCCATGACTGATAAAAGGAAGATAGACACGTCACAACAAAACTGGCCCGAAAGGCAGCAGGGCACCTAATGAGGGACTTCTGCATCTGAGACAAGGAGGATTTGGTGCTCTCCTTTGATATTTCTAAAAAAGCCAGATTTCCCTCCTACTGGGAATGAGATAACCACTTCAAGGTCAGATGCTTTAGATAACAATCAGTGCCTACTCTGGCACATTTTAACAGTGGCTTGCAGCCCGCTGCGCATCTTAAGTGTAGCCAGAAATATTCTGAAGGGTGGCCCTTGAGTGGCTTCGGCTCTCGTAAATTTTAATAAAGCAGGAATATGCTGTCGTGTTTGGGAGTGGCATGAGCAACACGCTGCTTTGCAGCAGATGGTTTTATTTGTTTAATCCACTGCAGATCCATCCACTCATCAGCTACACCAGTATTATCCTGTACTGAGTAGCAGGGACATTGGGTTCTATCCCAACTGGAACTGAACGGGAGGAAGGGATGCCAGTCTATCAGAGAAAGGATAACACCGACAGAGAGATAACCATGCACCATTACTACAATCTAGAATTATCAGTCAAGATGTGGATGTGCTTTCAACAGTGGAAATAAACAGCTAAAATGGAATAAGAGGACTACAGAATGAAAGGCCAAAACAGACCAGCAGGTTTGAGTGCAAAATGTTTCTGCTGTGACTCAGAACCTTCAATCTATGATGACAAAGACATGTGGTAACTTGTGATTATGATTTATCTCATGCAGATGTTTAGGTATGGGGAGGATCGAGCTACCTATTCCCTGCATGCTGCTGCACACTGCCAATCAGCTGCAATGCTTTCCTTTGCTAATATCCAGGGATATACAGTAAATAAACAAATAAGAGAATCTTTACTGAACTAATGGTAAAAAATAAATACTTTTGGCAACCGATGAGCCGCATGCACGTCCACCAGCCAAACCACATTACTACATTAAGAGCGGAGTTTCAGATTATCATAATGTAGTAATATTAGCTCATTAGTTATTGTTTTAACAAATACTAATAGCAGAACTTTGTAGTTTTATATAATAATTATTAGTACTATACATTGCTTTATCAATCAGAAAGATAAACATAAATAAGATTCAGTTTGAATTTGCAAATTAAAGCAGATGTGCAGACGCATGAGATAATTTGGGGAATTTGTATCAGATGCTGGCTATTTGGATGAGGGCAGAGCATCATCTAATGAGGCTTGAGGAATCTCAATTAGTTTAATGATCAATACTGGGTAAAAGAAATAACAAACAAAAAAATTCTCCAAAACTCACTATTCTCTGTAATGAAATAAATAAGTTGGAAATCTGAACAGGTCATTCTTTTATAATTCACAGCATGTTATTTAATTTAAATGCTCTCAAAACACATATGAAATAAAAAATATATTTATTTTAAAAAAAACCCAAAACAGTTTCTTTTTTTTCAATATTTCTCAATCTTCTTTTGCTGTCACTTGGGATCTCTGGGTCTATCATCTCCTTTCCTTTCTGCTTTGTCCACCTTCACAATAACTGGTTGGTTAGGCATTGATTGTCTCCATTTGGAGGTCCCCACAGGATCCTGGCCTCCTAATGTTCAACCACTTTTAGCTGAGTTTCCCACTTTTACCGTGGAACTCTGAGCTATTCTCTGCATAGATGTACCCATAGACAATTCTAATTGTTATTTATAGTGTTCCATACACCCTTTGCTTGCCAGCATCTTAACCAAAAATGTTATGTCAAGAATTCTACACACATATCGAATTTCCCATCTTAACAGTCCATCCTAGACCGTTTTAGAAGCATCTCTGGACAGTTTCTGTCTGAAGTGGTGGACCTCAGCCTCTATTGCATTACTTGATGCACATCATCTAGAGCAGTGGTTCCCAACCTGTTTTTGACTAAATCTAAATACAACATAAAATCGTACCATAAATCTGCCTTTATAAAACTGGAGCTTTAAACTTGATAAATTTGGAACAAAATACTGAACAAAATTATATTTTGACTGAGTCCATTTGTTTTACTTTTTTTTCATTATTCATGACACCTTTGATGAGCTCAGATGTGGGAAAACAGCCGATACCAGGCTGTTCTCTACATCCAGTCTGTTCCTCTACTTGGTACTGATTTCTGTCGAAGCTTAAGGTGAATTCAGACATATAAGAAAAGCTTAAATTTTGGTTGAAAAAAAAGCTTATTTTTTGTTTTTCATGTGGTTTCTCACAAAGTAAAACAGATCGCAGCCCGATATTATTACCTGAGAAATAAAATATGTTCATTTAACCCTTGCAATGCACTCGCAGACCGCTAAGGTTATGAGTACCCTGGTTGGGAATGACTGATCGAGAGGCTCATCTTGCACAACAGAGTTGCATGGCTTCAAACCCTCTAACCATCAGGAATAAAATAGGTTACAAAAAAATGTAACATTGTCATGATTGGGAAATCAGAGCATTTTGATGGCTGCTGAAACAGGCCAGTTGCAAATGTCTTTCATTATCTTAACATTCTCCACACACTTCACCGTATAGCATGTATAATGTATTTCATAGATTTTTATGTGATGGTTTTGAAACTATTACACTGATAAAAATGTTAAATAACTGCTTAATTAAATCTAGTTAAATAAGGTCCACCTTTTGGTAATTTAATCTCAGTCTAAATACAGCTTTACTTTGAAGGCTATGGTTTGTATTTTGATTTACAGTTAGCTTATTTGTGTATACTGTAAGATACATAAAATGAAAAACGTGACTACATGATTGAAATATGTGTTGATATAAACATTCCTCCTCTCTTTATATATATATGCTAATCTGTAAAGTAAAAAACTACTGCCTCCATAAATGTCATCTTTTTCATTATAAAGGCTGCTTTGACAGGAGTAAAAATTACATCTGCAGGCTGTTCAATGGCATATTAGGACGTCGGTGGCATTGCAGTTAAAATACATTCAGCTTCAGCAGCCCAGAAGAAATTCATTTTGCAACATCGATCCATCAACTAAGGAAATTCCATTGCATTAATATATGTCATACCTAACACCAAAAAGGTTATCCTCTGAGCAAATGGTACTCCATTAGGAAAACATGATAAAAGCTCTATTATAAAAGCATGCCTGAATCAGATGCGTTAACCTTTTTACCATATCACTCCAAACTTATTCAAAGCCTCACTCATTATGTGACATCTCACAGGATACAATAATTTAACCAATCAGCTAAAATATGAAATAAACCTGTTAAAACCTCTGTAATCTCTGTGTGGGGGTAGCATGATTCATATAAAAAGGAATTTTGTTGGCGAGCTATACGATGGCCATTCAGCATGTTGCAGGAGAACAAGAAAAGAAGGTCAGCAGCAAATTAAAGCTTTGACCTATATCAGGGATGCTAACATGCTTCTAGTGACAAGGATATCACGCTGATGTGCAGCCAGTAAACTGTGACCCATGCATTTTTGAATCATTACTGCAAAGCCAGCCATCTGTTGGCTCTTAAAATATTCCAGTGAATAAATGAAAGTGTTGACCTTCCTAATGAGGCAGGAGAGGAAAAAGTCATAGGATGTCACACTTCAGCTCTCTGACTGGCATTAGGCATTTAGTTTACAGAAAGAGGTTTATGATAAAGATTGGTTTTAAAATCTAATACAGATCAAGTCATGAATCATTCAAGAAATGGATTTAAATCTAAGCAAGGATTCAACTATAAGGAGGTTATAATTTAACACAATTCTTGCAAGATATATTGAGGTTCTAAATATCACTTTAACCAGTTTGCAAGTATTCACATAATTAACCATAAAAGCAATAATGAGGTAATTTTAACCCTATGTCAGAAAATCTTTATGGGAGTTTAGATGGTTGAATTTATTAAATAAAATCAAATATAATTTTAATTTCTTAACATAATGCTTAGGTTCTAACACTTGAAAACCAATTTAAGCTGAATAACATTTTCTTGGTATTTTTGGAAAATTTGTAGAACCAAATAATTCATCCATCCTTCCATCCATTTTCTGTCACGCTTATTCTAGCAGGGTTGCGAGGGGTGCTGGTGCCTAAATCCAGCTGTCAATGGGTGAGAGGCAGTTACACCCTGGCCAGGTTGCCAGTCTATTGCAGGGCAACAGTCAGACAAACAAGACAACAACCAATTACGCACACACTCACACCTAAGGAGAATTAAGAGAAGCCAATTAACCTAACAGTCATGATTTTTGGACTGTGGGAGGAAGCCAGAGTACCCAGAGAGAATCCACACATGCTCAAGGAAAACATGCAAACTCCATGCTTAAGGATTCCGGGCCGGGAATCGAACCAGAACCTTCTTGCTGCAAGGAAGCAGTGCTACCGACTGCAACACTGTGCAGCTGAACCAAGTAATCATTAATAAAAATAATTCTTTGCCCAGGGATTCTCAATCCTGGTCCTCAAGTACCACCACCCTGCATGTTTTAGATGACTCTCTGTTATAGCACACCTGATTCAAATGATTACATAGACTCCTCAGCAGCTATTAAGTGCTGTAGATGGTTGATTAATCTAAGTCAGGTGTGTGGCAGCAAGGAGACACCTGAAACATGC